AACTTTATAATTGCGGGCCAGTGCGGGCCTAAAATTTTGTAAAATTATATAAGAAATTTTTGCGGGCCGGGCCGGGCCGGGCCGGGCTGAAGAAACAATTTAACATATGCGGGCCGGGCCGGGCCGGCAAAAAACAATAATCCTAAATGCGGGCCGGGCCAGGCCTAAAAAAAATTTTTAACCCTAACTGCGGGCCGGGCCTCAAAAATAGGCAATTTGCAGGCCCCTAATTCAAATAAACCTGTTATCAGGCGAGGGTACAATCTCTAAAGAACGAGCCGTCGATGTTACACGACCGATCCTTCACCCGGTGTGCAACATATAAAAAAATTATAAAAAAATGGTATAGTAAAATAATTTTTTGGTATGTTGCACATGTTTGTACTAAGAAGGCATGAATCACTAGTAGATCTAAATAAATCGATCTCGATAACGAATTCGCGTAGAAATTTGTGAAGACTTATCATATAGCAAATACGATCGATCCAAAAAACGTGAAACAACCTATCACGTGCGTATAGATAAGAATTTTAGGTAAAACATTAAAAGTAACAAAATAATCTATTTGCACTGAGTAGACAAGAACTAACTTGTAGAATAATGTTTTTTCTGAAACAACCGATATTAATCAATGATTATTCGGTTGAATTCAGTAAGCTTTTATTTTTATAGCCAATGTTTTAAAACAGTCAGTAAGAACATCCGTAAGTGTTTATTTACTATGCTGTATATAATAATATTCGACTATATTAAACTTTGGGCTTTGTATAAATTTTATATATATTTGCATACTATACACTATATATTACTTTATACTCATACGCACGTGTTTGTTAATTTAACGTATTATACTCCACTACTTTACTAAACCATAATCTCTACTACTATTCGTATTACTCAAGGAATTCCCCTCTCTCAATTATGATTTTTTATAAATTATACGTGTAGCACTATAATTAATCATATATGCTACCAAGTGCAATAAATTCACAACACCACGATAACATTATTAGGACCGTCAATGTAAGTGATGAGTATACACTGGTATCTATGTACCGTACTGCCTTTAGTACCCCTTATTTAATAAAATAATACCTGGATACATTGCGAAAAAAAAAATCTCGAAAAAATTGTAATCGAAATAAACCCCTCAAGCATAACCACCCAAATAAGCTCCGTAAAAATACATTTTATATACTCAGAATTTTCAGATGATTTTATTATGAAAAATTTATTAAATTAAATTATATGTATTTAAACTCCGTACGTAACTGATTTGGGTGGTTATGGTTATGCTTGGTTCGTCATCGAAATATTTCTGGATTATAATACCCATTCTTGGTTAAGTACCCATGGGTATATGACTGTTTGTTATAAAACTCTGATACTAAAGGCAGTGCGATACCATATATTCTTTTATTAATAATACTAACTCTAAATCCTAACCTAACCCCGTTAAAATTTTATATGTATTAAAATAAGTTAAAATCCCAGCTTAAACTGTTACATTAACAATTAACTCCAGAGTAATTCAGTAATTTGCTCAAAAGCTTGAGCATTTATGATTAACTCTAGAATAATTTAGTAATTTGCTAATTTTCTTCCATTTACAACTTGTGTAATAAATGGTTTAAAAACGTCATTTACCGTTATGTACCAATTTTTTTTTTTAAAAAAAAAAGAAAGGAAAGCATCTGCGTAACTTTTTAAGTGTTAATAATCTAGAGATCACGATACCTGAAATCATTTTTATAAAAAATGCAAGTCTGTCTGTCTGATTTCTATTAATGGCAGCCCATATCATATATATACTTGCCGGCCAATCGGTGTGTTTAAAGTGACGAATACAGGAATAGAATAGACATTAATACATAGTGGTAGCGGGTAGTATATGTAGAATAAAATTCTACGATGCTATTGAACATGTAAGTAATTATCAATTAGTCGTTCAAATCGAATAAAACCTATATTAAAACGACTTAAATTCAAAAAAAAAACGTACTCAGTGAAATCATTTGGAATACACTTAGTTGTATGGGAATTCTTTATTTGGTTTCTAAATCTACAATCATTGATTTGATTGGCTAACAGATAATCAATCGGATATTATTTATAGAACCGACACTGGTGGATCGGATCGTTCATAACAGGTTATTGGTTTTGAAAAAACCATGCAGATAAGATTTGTAAGTTTTAGCTTTGAGACACTTATATAGTACGTACTGTACGTACATTCGTACAAATGCAATCATGTGTTACTGTGGCCAATACCTAACATTAATATGTAATAAATACGTATTAAGGAATTTTAATTAAAGTGTTTGAAAATTGGTAACATACGCCTATGGTTTGAGCCTAAAAATCAATAAGGATTATTTATAAAAGAGTACCATAACGGTAGTTGACGCCCAAACTTTCAAATAAAAATAATGGCATATCCAAATCCAGATTTAACGGTTCCATTTGCAACAATTTTTGCAACATTTTTACTGTGGGCTGTTTCGTTGACTCCAATTAGAATTGCTCAAGCTAAACAAGAAGAAGGTTTAGATAACTCTCAGCCAAGAGAGCAATATACAAACTTAGTGAGTAAACTTTATCTTTCCTAATAGTGATATATATATATACTGTATATATATATATATATTAATTAGTTATTTCTTCAATATAAATTAGCCCAAATGGGGGCAAAGAGCGGTTGCAGCATCGAATAACACATTTGAAGGATTATGTTTCTTCAGTATCGCAACATTCACATACGCATTCTCACAACCAAGTATCGTAGATAATGATAGTAAAAATATGCATATTCGAATTGCTGCCGATTTTTTTTGCATCGCCTTCATAATATTTAGAGCGGTATGTACATATGAATAACTGTTCTATAAACATATTATTTTGATTTGAGATTTATTTTAGCTTTATGTATATGTGTATAGATTTACCTCCCTCTGTATTGGTACGATATGCCAGCTTTCAGGAGTTTTACTTGGTCTCTTAGTCTTCTTTGTATAATTGGTTTATTCATCATTTCTTTTGTGTGAATGTTCTAAATATGATCAACTGGAAAACTTCGAGTTTGTAAATATAGGTTACTATAAAAAAAATTCAAATTTAAATGAATCTACCATATGTAGTAAATTTTTAATATAAATACGTAATCGTAATACGTACATTGAAAACTTCCAGGTGAAGTTAATCAAACAAGAAAAACAATGTGGTATGCAAATAAAACTACTATTTACTTTTTTTTTTGATGCCACAAATGATGTTGAAACTCGGCTGAAGCTGAAACTAATATAAATAACTAGCGTGTTAGCGTCCATTTTCTAAAAATTTGAAATACGAATAAGGTTTTTCAAAACTCTTATTTAACTTCAAAATGAGCCACTTATTTGTTAACTTTGAAACCCTAAGAAGTGAATTTCTCGTTCAATTTGCTTTGAATAATGAGGTTTCACTAATTTGGAGAGTCCCCGGAAAATTTACAAAATGCTTTCGAGATTCTTAATTGTTAGCTTACATATTAAACTAGGAACTGGAAATCAGTATAAGTCTGAAGCATAAGTGCATTTTATAATAACTGTTTTTTAATTAATTTATAATAAGTACTCTATAGCAAAATAAAAATTTTATTAAGCAAATCAATTCTATGCTACTATGTAAAGTTGTTCAGAAGATCAAAATACATATACTCTGAAATTTTTATATAATTACGATAATTTTTATTACTTGATATTTACTTTTTACAATTACTAAATATAAATTTATAAAAAAAATTTAATTGACTTTTTTGAGTATAAAATGAAAAACATATTAGTAAAAAATTGTCCTATTTGTATATAAATTTTAGAATATATGTATTTTGATCTCCTGAACAATTTTACTTAATAGCATATAATCGATTTACTTAGTAAAATTTTGGCTTTACTATATAAAAACATGGCGTGACATCCGGAAAATAACAAAACTACTTGTTTGATATTTTTAATATACGAATTTTTGGTTATCAAAGGGCATAGAAGTATAAGTCTGTCGCTTCGCTCCAGACAATTATATTTATCACGCATTTTAATATTAAATTTATTGAACCTGAGAAAATACTTTTGATGGCAGGATAATCACAGCGAACAGTAAAGTTGATATAGGCGTTTAATGCCACTATACTTACTATATGCGCAGGTTTAATCTACAGTTTAGAATATTTAAAAGTTTGATTGGTTAAGATCTGAGGTTATAACTTTTATACAGGTAATTTATTTTCGGAACTATAAATTAATTAGTAAACTTTTTATCATACTCACTTAAATTAACACGAACAAATTGAAATTAAATAGTAGTCATAAACCAAAATAACTTATATTAAATACATAGATTCATAACTTTCATAATGCACACTTTATTTTAAACATAGATTAATAGATTTTCTTATAGTCACAGTAAAATTAAAAAAAAAAGAACTTAGTAAATATTTCATGAACTTGAGTTGCTTATTTTAAACACTTAGATCATCACACTACTTAACACAAACAAAACAATCTAAATAGTTGAGAATCGGAATGGCTTATTTTAAACGCAAATTGATGAATTTTCTTATAGTCACACCCTAAAATCAAGCAAACAAAATAAATTTAAATTACTAATATTCGTGAACTTGAGTAACTTATTATAACCACATATTAATAAATTTTCATTATGCTGACCTAATTAATTCAAATTCTTCAAATATTATTTTTCACTTTAAGTATTCACATTCTAACTGCTCTAACAAATTAAAGTCTATAAAAAAAAAAGGATGTTAGTTTATATTTCAAAAAACAATAAACTCTTAATTAAAAAATGAAATTAGTACTTATCCAAGTTGCTGTTTTCTCGTTAAAATACACATTTCAAATTAACAAGATCTACAAAAAAATGTGGTAATTTTTACTTAAAAGAAAACAACAAAAATCTACGAAAAAAAATGTTAGTTACTATTTTTAAAAAAAAATTCAAATAAAAAATATAAAAACTTATATCCTACTTTAGATGTTAGAGATGCATGACTATAATTCTTTTATTTCTAATATAATAAAAAAATTTGTTAATAATAATTATCATTAAGTAAGCGTAATTTTATTTTCATTCATAGTATACAAGCTTCTTTTATAGAATAAGAAAATTGTAACTGTTCCTAATCAGAACTAGTAGACTAATTTCAGGAACTACATCAAACTACCAATTATGCCAGAAACAGACCATCTTGACAATCACTTCCTCTAAAATCTGAAAAGAGTGACCCTTTACCTTTTACCTTCTACTGTAGATCTTCAAAAAGAAAGTGCTACTAGTTATATTATTTGGTAGTAGCAGTTTCTTTTTAGATAAATCACATCTAACTCCAGAAGGAACATCTGTTCGCATTAATATCTCTAGCTGTCCACTGACACAAATAGATAGCCTAAAGGATTTACAACTTACGAACTAATAATAAAAATACTTACTTCATTTCTAAACTGCTTCTTTTAGAACTGTGGCTTTATATTTTCAGTATATAGCATAGACACTACCAGTGTAATGCCATTCTGAATACAGAAATAGCCAAAAAAATTCACATTTAAAATTTATCACAAGATTCTCAGATCCGTCTTAAGGTCATAGAATGATATTCACCTGATTGGCTGATGCAAATCAATTGTCTAGGTAACATTTAGGGACAGTGAAATTTATGTAAATTGGTAGAAAAAACAGTAGCCAGATTATTTTGCCAACTTACAGTACATGTGATTTTTAAAAACTGATTGCTGGCAAAATATTTACAGCTGTTATTATAAATTCTGAGACACTCGACAAAAATTAGCTGAATTATTTTTTGGCAACTGAGATAAAATCACTATTCAAAAATTTTTAAACATTATGTGACACTAGACATATAACTAATGAAACTTAATAATGATAAGCAATAGCATCAAGCATTTATTCATTTCAAATAAAATCTAAGATTTGTTACAACCAGAAAGTATTATGATTTTTCCAAGTATTTGAAATATTGTGTTGCCTTTTAAAATGATTATATTCCTCTAATTTACACAATGGCTCAAAATTTTTTTTAATACTGTTATAGATAAAAGCCTTCTTATTTTTTACACTATAATGACGACACAGCATAGGGAATCCCTTACAGGTATATGTGGTATCTAAGAAGGAAGTATAGCTTCTGTTAGACGTTGTCAAGAAACTATACCCTTCTCTGAGGCAGTTCAGGAAAGGTAATGCAATAC